AATTGTTTTTGGAAACTAATTTCTGAAAGAAATTATTCGCACCCGTTACTTAGCGCGGATAAACGTCTGGTGTGTGTATGTGTTTGTGTGTGTCTATATATATATCAAAGAAGGACTATATTTAACAAATTCAATTCATTTTTCTTCTTAAGATATTACATATGCCATTTCTTTTAAAGGTAGATAGTACTTCAAATTCTTTTTACATCAAAATGTATTTCATTTTAGTTTAGGGCTATCGAGCAAAATTTAACATTGATATCGAGATGGATGTAATAACATGTTGCATGATATCCTATGAATATCGTAACTCCAGTCTTCCTTACCTTTTATGTGTTTTGGAATTTTCAGTTTTTGAATCAATTTGTTATCATATTTACAAAAGAGTTGATGGCACTTATTGGTTAAAAGAAGACTTTGTCTCTAAAAAATATTTGATAATAAATAAAAACCAAAAGTATAAGGGATAATATAAAATTCTAAAACCAATCAGGTTATTAGTGGGAGCTGTTACTAATTAGTGCCTCTAGAATTTGTGGAAAAGTTAAAGCTTGATTGAAAGATGTCTCCTAATTGTGTTACTTAAATGTACTTTCGTTGTTTCAAAACTTAGTATCAGACTACTTTAAAATCAATCTTGATCCTTGAATTAGGGTAATAAGTTAATCAAGCATAGCTCATATTTATGAGCTTATTCTGTCATTCTGTGAGCGTGTTATATGTTATGAACTCATTAATTTATAAATTGAGATTGATAGAGTTTGAGTCAAAATAGCTCTAATTATTTGATATAGATTGGGCTTGCTTAGAGCCTTATTTTGAAATCAATTTACATTAATGGAAATATATAATTACAAAGCATTTTAGGTAAAAGAAATCAAATATTTTTATATTATTTGATTTTGCATATATTAACAGTTTGTTCATCTATATCAACTTTTATATAATAGATATTATGGAGATATATAAAAGGTTTAATGATTTAATAGAAAACTGTTTAGTTGACAAGGATTTAAACTAATCATTCTACCAACTTTGTGATTTGTTTATTTGGGGAGTTGGTTTCATGTCTCATGAGCTCTTGACTTGAGGCCAAAATAAAGAAAAGAATAATCGAACAAATGCAAAATTCCAAATTTAATTAATTTATTTTAAGAAAAACATAGAATCTGTTAATAAGGGTTTGACCTTAACAAACCAAATGACACATGACAACGTAAGTTTGAAGTTACAAAATTAATCTAATAATTTGTGGAGTAAGTTACGAAATTTGTCTCAGTGTTTTATTGAAAACTAAGGATAGGATATGATCACTAAAATAATTTTATTACACGGAGCTCAAACAATGATTTTAAGATTTATTAGTACGATATAGTATACCACAAATTTGGCAATTTACTTCACTTTTTAAATGGACTTTACGTCATGTTACAACTTATGGCATCCATTAGACCACACGGTATACCGACCACGAGCCGGTTCGTGGTCAACGTGGCCACGATAGTGGTCCATGCAAACCACCCGGCTTATCGTGGTCGGTCGTGGTTGTGGAGCTTCGTGCTCGGGAGGACGAGGGACAACGAAGAATGGGAGAAAAGGAGAAGAAAGTAGCCGTTGAATGGCTACATTTTTTAAACAATTTTTTTCAAATAACTTCTTTTTTACCTATATATCACATTTTTACACACATTTCTTTACATCATTCTTTTATTTCTCTATACACAATAGACACACAACAATTTCATATCGATCAAAAACACCACCCCACCCAAACAAAACAAAAATCGCAAACCCGATAATGCTTTTGCGTTAGACACAACCCCTCGTCAATTCCCGACCATGGACTCACCTCAATGTGGTTTTGTCAATTTGCTTCAAACCGGTTCCCCTATCCAACAAACTACATTTTTCCAACAACAATATCAAGCTTTCCCGGCCTTCGAAAAAAAAAAAAAAAAAAAACTTCAACAATATCAAACTTTCCAACAATTCCAACCACAACCATCACAACCCCCTCATTCGCCGACTTTTATTTCAGAAACTCAACATTCACCACCACCTCAACCTAAAAAGAAAAAAGGAAAAAAAAAAAAAAACAACCCGACCCAACACCACCCAAGAAAGGGTCCAATGGACAAAAGAGGAAGAAGAAAAACAAGTGGAAGCATGGATTTTGGCTTATCAAGACCCAATCTAAGGCGAAAGTCAAAATTTCAGTTGTTTTTGTGTGACATCACCATTTTCACGGTAAAAAAAGACTGATTTATTTATACTTATTTAAAAATCAAAGTAACTTTTTTGAAGAATAATATTGTGGAATTTATTCCCAGAAAACATGATAATGATATTATCAAAGTATTCCCGAAGAAATGTATTTTATTTATATTATAATATTAGGATGTCATCGTCAATACAAAAACATAAGTATAACGAAATATCACAAACCTTACAATAATTAAACTAGTTGCCTAATATTCCATAAATCTCTCAGCACAATATATCTTTCATATAGCCACCTGTGATACAATAAACTGAGTGGGTCAGGTTCGGAAATCTGATGAGGACATAGGGTTTTGAACCCACAATAATATAATTAATTTCTTTCTTCGCATATTTCATGTCAAACAATTAACCTGATTATCCACCCCTGTTATCTTTATTTATTCTTCCCTAAAGATTCATCCTAAGGGTCATCTCTTATATCGTATTTACCTCTGATATTCTTACATCGCATTTCCTTATATGTTTGTTCCAAAGGACTTTTCCGAAGGATCATCGCATAGACGGTATTGATTCGGGGATTAGTCCCTCAATACTTGTCCAGTAAGAGTTAGAGTATCATCGCATGAATACGTAGTTAATGCATCGCCTAAAATTCATCACCTACAAGTTATGAGTCTGTTGGTGTTTCCACATAACTGGTTTAGATTAGTCGGCGGTCGTCATATATACTCCGGTAGATGACTACATCACAACATCACAGGTCAAGGTTATGGCATCTCCTAATCATCTATTATCTCGCATCACCTATCCATCACCAGATATCTATCATCACCTAGTTATCATCACCTATCTCTCATCGCCTGTCGCTACCCAATACATATCTGTAAGCATATAATACTTATATGATTAAATTAGTTAAACATCATCACGTAATATCTTATATAACACATAATATTCTCGGCATAGATAATAAGCACATAAGCATGTAATTATCCAGATACTTCATATCTATGTGTAAGATGAAAGTAACTATGTACTCACTTGTTAAAGTGACGACTCGAAATTCGGGCAACGTTTTGTTTCTAACAATTGTCTTTTCCTTTGACGAAAGCTAGTATCATTATTACTAAGTTTTGGTTTATTATTTATTACGACTAATTATTAGTCTAGATTCATCATCAACTCAAAGTCTACTTTCATGATCTATTAAGTAAGGAACAACCAGGTAGGATCATATTGGAGGTAGGGTCCATTTGGTATACGAAGTATACTGTTTGGAAATCTCACTTTAAACACCTCAACTAGTATAACGACTTGGAATTACTGAAAATTCTTATTTATAGGTTCATAATAAAAATACTAAACTTAAACACAAGTTACACTTAAAGTATGGTAAGCATAACTCGCTTACAAGGGGGTTTAGCGAGAAACTGAGCTCTACACGGGAAGAACTTCTAAGCCGAAACCACTTCTTCTCAGGGCCTTCTAGCGCTTCAGGACTCACTATTAACACCTAGGAGGTGCTAGGGAAAGGCTTAGAGGGTTTAAGGGTGTTTGAGAGAGAAGGGTATGAAGAAAACAAGTGATTTGTGCCTTACACGGGGGTAATTAAGACGTACATGAGGCGTACTATTATATGTTGGGTGTACTCCGCGCTATGCGGGGCGTACCGGTGCCACGTGTCGAGATCGCATGCGAAGCCTTGAGGTAGAAGGTGCGGCTAAGATTGTGCCACGTGTCACTTCAGGGTTTAATAGGAAAATTAATTATCTTCTAGAATCCGCAACTTTCACAGACGAGCTTTGTTTTTGATGTTCTTTGTATTGTAAGGTCGAACCTTATAATATGATGATGTTTGAAACTGATCACTCAGCATCAGCACGTAATCCAGCGTCAGCATACAAGTTGTTCAGTGTATATTTTTATATTCAATATTTTGTAACAGATTTAGTTTTTATCTTGTTTCCATAGTTATCGTTTATTAGTTAGCTGGAATATCCCTGATTTGTAGGGATTGTCTATAATAGTTCTATATAATCTTTTTGTACAAGTTTGTGAGACGCCGTCTTTCACAAACTCTAATAGCCGCTTTGTGCAAAATATAATCTCTTTGTGAGATTATCATTCTTAGTGAAAGTTCTTTGTGAAACTTCGTTGTTCTTATTGATAGTCATTGTTTGATAAATTGTTTGATCTAAGGTTCTTTCAATTGGTATCAGGACAGGTTTCTTTTATCAAACAAATGGCTTCATCATCTTCCTCTTTAAACTCATCAAATCATCCTTCTGCTAAAATTCCTCCGTTTGATGAAACCAATTTTGCTATGTGGAAAATAAAGGCTCTATATGCATTAGAATCTGTAGATGAAGACATGTTGGACATCATCGAAAAATGTCCATATGTTCCGATGTATCAGCCCTTGAAAAACAATGTTCCTGATGGTGTCATGAAGAAAACACATAGAGAAAACTGGACAGCAGATGACAAAAGAGAGAATGGTCTCGATGTTCGTGCTCGGGCTGCAATCAGCTATGCTTTGCCATACAATATCTTTGGGCTGGTTCAGAACTGCATATCAGTAAAAGAAATGATGGACACGCTGACTGTATCTTTTGAATGCACTAAAGAAGTCAAGGCTACTCAAATAAATGATCTAAACAGAAGGTATGAACATTTTTTTTGCAAAGAAAGGTGAAACCCTGACTCAAACCTTTAACAGATTTAATACTCTTGTTAATGATCTGCGGAGACTAGATCAGTTGAAGCATCGAACTGTTCTAGTGCAGAAGTTTTTGGATTCTCTGGGTGCAGGTTGGGAGAATCATGTTGATGTGCTGAAAAATAGTGAGAAGATCAACACAGTGGACTTACAAAGTCTCTATGGAAACCTTCGATACTATGAGGAATCCAAGCTTCAGAGAAAGGAGTTGATGAAGGATGCTCAGCGTGAGTCATCAGTGGCATTATTCTCAAACAAAAAGCAAGTGTCAGAGTCAGACACTGAAAACCATTCAGACACTGATTCTTCTAAAAGTGAGACTGATGATCTGGAAAAGGTTGTTGCTAGTGCGGCTTTAATTGTGAAGACTTTTGAGAAATCAGGCCGAAATTTCTCAAAGTTTCAGTAAAAGATGAGTGGGAAATCTTCAAAAAGATCAGATGCTGATAAGAAACATGCTACTAAAAGGAAAGGGAAAGCTCAGTGCTTTAACTGTGGTAGCACTGATCATTTTGCAAAAGAATGCAAGCAAAGAACCCAAAGCTCGGATGAATACTGGAAGCAGAAGTACAACAAGGTTGATAAAGATGGTATGATTACTCGCAACAAAGCAAGACTTGTTGCTCAGGGGTTCACTTAAATTGAATCCATCGACTACGAGGAGACTTTTGCTCCAGTTGCCCGCATTAAAGCAATCAGACTGTCTCTCACATATGCCTCATACATGAACTTCATTGTCTACCAAATGGATGTCAAAACGGAATTTCTTCATGGTGTGTTACAAGAAGAAGTATTTCTCAAACATCCCCCAGGCTTTGAAGACAAAGAGCACCCTGACTATGTGTACAGACTAGATAAAGCTGTATATGGACTGAAGCAAGCTCCTAGGGCCTGGTATGAGACACTGACATCATATCTTCTTGAAAATGGATACAAAAGAGGAGCAATTGACAATACTCTCTTCATCAAAAAGAAAGGCTCAGAAATGATTCTTGTTCAAATCTATGTCGATGATATCATCTTTGGATCTCCAAATGAGAAGCTGAGCAAAGAATTCGCTGAGATCATGTCTCAAAGGTTCGAAATGAGCATGATGGGGAAAAATGACTTTCTTCTAAAGGTCTTGAGGTTCAGCAACAAAAATCAGGTATCTCAATTTGTCAAAGTAAATATATTGCTGACATGCTAGTTAAGTACTCTCTCAGCGACTGCAAACCAGCTTCTACTCCGGTGTCCAAGACTGATAAGCTACACGTTGATCCCACCGGCACTGATGTTAATCACTCTCTTTATCGAGGAATGATTGGATCTCTTCTCTACCTCACTACAAGTCGCCCTGATATCATGTTTGGAACCATTCTCTGTGCTAGATTCCAAGCTAATCCCAAGGAGTCTCATCTCATTGCAGTCAAACGCATCTTTCGATACTTAAAGGCCACTCAAAACTTGGCATTGTGGTACCCTCGTGACTCAGCGCTTGAACTCTTTGGATACACTGATTCCGACTATGCAGGATGCAACTTAGACAAGAAGAGCACATCAGGTGGATGTCATTTCCTTGGAAATCGACTAATCAGTTGGTCCATCAAGAAACAAACCTCAGTAGCTATCTCCACTGCAGAAGCTGAGTATGTTGCAGCTGGGAGATGTTGTGCTCAAATCTTATGGATTCAAAATCAACTTTTAGACTATGGGCTTAAATTCACAAAGACTCCTATATACTGTGATAACACCAGTTCCATTCAGATCACACAGAATCTTGTTCAACACTCAAAGACAAAGCATATCGAGATTAGACATCACTTCATCAGAGACAATGTTGAGAAGGGTAAGGTTGTTCTAAAACATGTCAAGACTTCCGATCAACTAGCTGATATTTTCACCAAGGCCCTGGATACTCAAACTAATGCTCACATTATTGGCGAACTTGGAATGATCACTCTGGATTGAAAATGTTTTACTAATGTTTGCTATTGTCTTATAAACTAATGTTTTTTTGTTGATGATGATGTGCTGATGATGTTTAGCATGCTGAGTACATTGTATGATTTCTTATCTCTATCTCTTCTACAAATCTTCTAAACTAAAGTTGAATGATTCACTGTATTAAACCATACACTGATAACAACTTGAAACTCTTTGCCGATGGTTAGACAAAACACCAAGTTCTATCACACGCAACTATCCCCTCTTACCAATCTTACACTGATTCTGTGATTCGGTGTGACAAAACACATACTGATGAGAATCTAAAAGTCTTTGCCAATGGTTAGAAAGAACACCAAGCTCTATCACACGCAACTATCCCCTCTTACCAATCTTACACTGATTCTGTGATTCAGCGTGACAAAACACATGCTTATGAGAATCTAACAGTCTTTGCCGATGGTTAGACCAAAACACCAAGGTCTATCACACGCAACAATCCTCTCTTCACCTTCTTCTCACTCAGTGTCTAATGATTCAGTAAGAAATACCACTCACTGATAAAGACTCGACACTCTGTGCCGATGGTTAGATAATTAAACCAATATCTATCACACGCACCAATCACCTTGCTAACCCTAAACAAGCAAGTTGTACCTTGAATTGACGACAAACTATCTTTCAGCATGTAACTTTTCGTGACAATGATCTCAGCGCTTCCGCAGACACTGATTGTAGTTTCCTCTTCAGTACAACGGCTCTTTTTACCCAACGGCTATTTTTTTGATTTGACAGCCTATCAAGATACGCAGTTATTTTCGATAAAGATAATCATTACCTTTTTTTTTAACCGTTTAATCCCATATTTAAACCTTTTCACCTCTCTCCCAAACCTTCCTCCCATCATTCAAACTTCTCTCTCTCTCTTTAAAAAAAAAAAAAAAAAAAAAAAAACCCCTAGAATCCTAACTCTCTTCAATGGCGGCATCACTGTTCACTTTCTCCTCCACTTCAAGAAGAGTCATCCCAGCTCCAAACTCTCATCCTCTTCCCATATACATCAAAGCCACAAATGTTGTTTTCAACCCTGATATACCAGATGTTCATTGCGGTCTCGGACTTGATATTTTCTCAATTTCTTAGTCTCCTGCCGACTTCGATACGCTATCAGTGAGGTTCCATCAAAGTTCTTTCCCGAACAAGTATGTGAGTTCTACTACACCGCAACGGTTAATGATGAAAACAACGTCATCTCCGGGACTATTGGGCGTGGCCGACACTCAGTTTTTATCACCGCTGATCTCCTCAGTGTTGCACTCAGGTTACCAATTTTTGAACCATTCTCTAAGCTTCAAACTATTGAACGTTGTCGACGCCTCTTTGATCAACTGGGCTATGATCACTCAAAGGCTGGTGCTCGATCAGCTCTCATTCTGCATCAATGTATGACTCCAGGATGGAAGTTCTTCACCGGGGCACTGTGCAAATGTGTGGGTCACAAATCTCGCAGTGGTGATCAACTGAGTACTTATGAGCAACAAGTTGTCTGTTCCCTTCTCTCAACAAACGTCTTGATTATGGGGCTTTCTTCTTTGATCAGCTTGTCCAACTTCTTCGTGCCAATGTACGCGCTGATCATGTCCCCTTTCCACGCTGGATTGCTCTTGTCCTAGATAATTTTTTTGCTGAAGCCTACCACTCCCACTTTGGAAACCCCATCCAATGCCCACGCATGTCAGTACGAATGTATCAGGATGATCCAATGGAAAATGACATCGGAATCCCTGATCGAATGAGAGAATGGATCGCAAATCCATATACTGTTCCTTCACTAACCGCTGATACTGATGAAGGAGCTGATGGTAACAACGAAATTCATGCTGATCAACAAGCTGAAACGCAGGACGGTGGTCATCTCTCCCCTCAACTTTCTCATCATACTCTTTCTGTCACTGAAAGGGCTCACTCAGCTCAAGGGGGAGCAACCATCCCAGGGGGAGCAACATCGCTCACAAGAACTTCCAGGTACTCAGTTCATTCAAATCCCGGCCTCAGCATTTAATGAGCTTCTTACACTGACTCGCGACATGAGTCAGCATCTTCTACGAATTGAGGCTAATGTCCACCAACTGAAGGGAGTTCTTTTGTCAACTCCTTCCCCTGGCCTGATCCATGATGATGATCAAAAAGGGGGAGAAACTAATTCTGTTGAGCTTGTATCTGAAGATAACATATTAAACCAGACCGAGCCCCCACAGCCTGTGCACGAGTCTGATAAAATGGCAAAAATTGAAAAGCCTACTGACGAGTCTGATAGACCGCAAATACAGAAAAGCTTGCTGAAGATAGTGAGCATGATGATGAGGATGAACATGATGATGAGTGTCAGATGCTGGACATGAACTTCGTTGATCCCACTGTTCCAGTCCAAGGAGAAGCCTCAGATGATGATGAAGATGAACATGATGATGAGTGTCAGATGCTAGACATGAACTTCATTGATCCCATTGTGCCAGTTCAAGGAGAAGACTCAGATGTAGCTAGCGAGGATCTTCAACCTCTATCTCGCAAGCGCAAGGCAGCAGATACTAAATTGGCTGTTTCACATACTGATACTTCTCTTCCCAGCAAGAAACCTAAGTCCATTGTCAGCATATCCAATTTGGCAGCTGAATGGAACATGTCTCCTAATCAAGTTAAGCAAATTCTTGATGAAGCCAATAAAGCTCAGCTTCTAAAGAATATTTCTTAAGCTGATGAATCCCTCATTCAGCATAAACTTCAGGCCAAAGGATCCTTTGAAGCTCAAATGCAAAAGTTTTTAGAATATCAGTCCAAATCTAAATCTTCACAGCCTCCTCCCAGTAGCAGTAAGTCAAGGACTGATAGTGTTCTCGACAGGATTGATCGCAAAAGGTTTCAAGATGTTTTTACACGAAGAGTGAGCAGTGATAAGATCATCAAAGTTAAAGCCTCAAAACCTCATAACAAGAAAATTCTTACTTTGTTGATCACTCATCAAGGTCTTCAACATCCGTACACTGAAGTTGTCAAGAGAGATGAGCTGATCAGATACGAATACTCTGAATGGATGGAATTGCTCGAATTAGCATCCAAGCAAACTTCAGCTCTCTCTTCAGAACTGACCTGTGCTCTTCATTTACTGATCAAGAAAGTTCAGCGTCTGGATCTTGTTCCTACACAGCATCCTCAGCAGCAAGGCCCAAGTTCCTCAGTTCCAAGAATCAGAAGAACTAGATTTCAAGTTGATAGTGAAGATGTATTGGTTCTAAATTTTGGTGCTAAAGGAATAAACAACTCTCTTCCTATCGGTGTTGAGCCGGTTCAACATAAGTTTGTCTCTGTTCCTGAACATGGAATGTTTTATCTTGATTAAAATAGGAAAATGTGTTTTTCAGCGCACTACAGAAATTCCGAGAGCTCCAACAGAACATCTTGTTGGTTTAAGACAAATGTGCATGAGTCATCAAGATCTCTCTGGAGAGTTTCACATACTGATTGCTATGGAGTTACTGAATAGAAGACAAGAGCTGCTGGATAGTCCTTACTGGCCAGTGAAAGTAGAAGCTGAAGCTGAGTATGAAGAATTTATGTCCAGAGGTGTTCTAGTATAGCTGTATTTTGAACATCATCATATTGGGGGAGATTGTAAGGTCGAACCTTATAATATGATGATGTTTGAAACTGATCGCTCAGCATCAGCACGTAATCCAGCGTCAGCATCAGCATCAGCATACAAGTTGTTTAGTGTATATTTTTATATTCAATATTTTGTAACAGATTTAGTTTTTATCTTGTTTCCATAGTTATCGTTTATTAGTTAGCTGGAATATCCCTGATTTGTAGGGATTGTCTATAATAGTTCTATATAGTCTTTTTCTACAAGTTTGTGAGACGTCGTCTTTCATAAACCCCAATAGCCGCTTTGTGCAAACTATAATCTCTTTGTGAGATTATCATTCTTAGTGTAAGTTCTTTGTGAAACTTCGTTGTTTTTATTGATAGTCATTGTTTGATAAATTGTTTGATCTAAGGTTCTTTCATGTATCCACGAGTAGGTAGCGACATGATCTACAACTTTCATTTAGACACCGTCGGCTAATTTTGACTTTATTTTTAAAGTTATATTTTAATAGGCTCAGACAGTTAAAGTCCGTTAAAAAATCATAATTTTGTCATCTGATGTTCGTTTTCGACTATATCATTGAGTTCTTTTTAATGAGATCTTCAATTTTCATTTAGGATGTGTTGGCTATATATCGATCGATCTAAAATTCGATTTCCAAGTTGGATACTGTTATGCAAAATCTTAGAAAAATCATAACTTCCTCAAATGAAGTCAGATTTGGATGTTCTCTATATGCACGCTCTCCGTTTAACATATAATATGACTTTCTTTTATATTGCTAAGGCTAAAAATATTTCGTCAAAAATTTACTTTTTACGATACGTGGAGTCGTGTCGGTTTTATCGCAAAACTTTGACGGGTCATAACTTCTTCCTTATAAGTCGGATTTCAGCATTCTTTATATTTACGAAATCTTTGTCACATATACTATACTTTGGTTACGATTATTTATTCTAGATAATCTTCTATCAAAATGTCATTTTTAATGTTTATTGTCTCTTAATTGACCAGCCTGAATCTGCGGGTGTTACATTTTGGGAGAAAGTTTGTGCGGTGTTTTATGAGTTAACGGGAAGTGAAAACCAAAATCCTGATCAAATTAACTCGAAGTGGTGCGATATTCGACTAAAATGCACCGAATTTAGAGGAATTTGCAACAACCTCCTAAACATACGAAAAGCAGGCCAAATGATTTTGATGTCTCTAAGGTGGATTTGGACAAATTTGAAAAAATAGCACCAACCCGCAAAGCTTTTCCGTGTGTGAAACATTAGCTAAAGTTGAAAGATGCTCCGAAATGGAAAGAGCAAACGGAAGGAAGTTCACAATCTTCCGGTTTAAAGCGTTCAAGAAACCCAATGTACCTTCCCAACAATCGAACAGTGAACACACTTTGACATCAATGATGATCCACTCGATCTTGAAGACGAGCAACCTCTTTGTCGGTCCGTTGGAAGCAATAAAGCAAAAAAAAAAAGCGTTTTCGAGATCTAGTGTTATGGATCAATTTAGAGAGAAATTTGATCGTTATGTGCACGGTCAAGAAACGAAGGCGGAGATGTTGAGTCCGGTAGAACAAAAAATGATAGAAACACAATTGGTGATAAAAAAAACCAATATATAAATCTTGAAAATGAAAGTGGACGACCTCAAAGGCGAATATTTAGAACTATTTCTCACGATGAAGAAGTCTATTCGAGTCCGACGTAGGAATAGGGGATAGTTTTTTAGTTAAGCTTGATAATTTTAAGTTTTTTATTTTTAATGTTTTTTATTATTTTATTTTAATTAATGTAATTTTTATTTTTAATGTTATTTTTATTTATTTTATTTTAGTTAATGTAATTTGGTATGTTAAATTAATGAAAACTAGTACTTTAAAAAAAATATGATTTTATGTATTTTTTTTAAATTTAATTTTAAAAAAATGATGTGAAGTGGTGTGTTTAGTAGTAGGTATCCTGTGGTTAGTGGTAAAAAGTGTGTTGATGATGTGACACCACCATTATAGTGGTTAGTGATGGGTATAACAGATGACTTTATACTCACCACTAATCACTATTGTGGTGGGTATTACATGATCACCCCACACTCCTTAGCATTAACCATGGAATAACTATCACTATACACACCACTCCACCTTATTTTTTTAATTAAATTTAAATTAAAAATACATAAAAACCATATAACTTTTTTAAAATACTAGCTTTTCATTAAATTAAAATATCAAATTAAATTAAATAAAACTACATTAATTAAGATAAATCTCATTAAAATTATAATTACATTAATTAAAATAAAAAAATAAAAATAACATTAAAAAAATCTCAAAATACGAAGTATAAGTAAAATAAAATACCTCCTATTCCTACGTCAGACTTGAATCAACTCTTTTATCGTGAGAAAAAACTCCAAATCTTCGCTATCGAGGTCATCCACTTTCATTTTCAAGATTTTCATATCGGTTTTTGTTTGAAGCATCTCTTGTGCCTCTTGAAATGACGTTTGTGCTTCATTCATTTTTTTTCCATCCGAGTAATCATCTCCGCCTTTGTCTCTTAAACTTGCACATATCGATCAAATTTCTCTCCAAAATGATCCATAACACTAGAGTCCTAAGTCGTTGAAGTCGCTTTTTTGCTTTATTTCTTCCAACGGGCCGACAAACAGGTTGCTTGTCTTCAAGATCAAGCGGATCATCATTGATGTCAATCTGTGTTCGCTCATCCGATTGTTAGGAAGTTACATCAAGGTTTCGTGAACGTTTTGAATCGAAAGATTGTGAAGTTCCTTCCATTTGCTCTTTCATTTTGGAGCATCTTTCAACTTTAGTCACGGCTTCACATACTAAAAAGCTTTACAGGTTGGCGCTATTTTTTCAAAATTGTCCAAATCTGTCATGAAGACATCGAAATTGTTTAACCCGTTTCTTCGTATGTTTAGGAGGTTGTTGTAAATTCTTCCAAATTCGGTGCATTTTAGTCGGATATCGCGCCGCTTCGAGCGAAAACAACAATGTCCAAA